TCAGGCTGGTTTCGAACTCCTGAGCTCAAACAATCCGCCCGCCTCGGCCTCCCAGAGAGCTAGGATTACAGGCGTGAGCCACCGCGCCCAGCCATTTTTCAGATTTTTTAATCAGGCCATATACATTCACATTTGTGGTTATTGAGTAAAGAGGTAAAATGTGTTTCTTAGTGTGAGACACACTTGAAAACTGAAACAGTCATGTAACTAATAAGTCTACATTTCTATATGTTGATTTTTATTGGGAACCAACTGCTAGAACCTCACTATAAAAGAATTTGTATAGAATAGGATTCAGTATGAGGCAGTTGTATGAATAGGTTGGACTGTTGGAAGGATTGAGTTTCTGACATACCAAAGGCCCGGCTTGCCTACATTTCCTCCCATGAACTCTGAGGTGTTTGTCCAGCAGAGACCATGAGGGAGCTTCTGTGATAGTGGCTCCAGGGCCAGACAGTCTGGATTTCAGATCCGGGTCTACCACCCTCCAGCGGTATAACCTTAGACACGTTCCTTAATGTCTCCCAGCCTCATTTTCCTCACCTCTAAATGGATGTAATGGTGGTATGGCAGGGCGATGACAAGGATTAAATAAAGTCTTGAACGAACGGACAGTGCTTGATGCAGTGCCTGGCAGATGGACGTGCTCAATTAGCAGGCTCCTAGGATTTGCAGTATTGTGAAGCTCTAAAATATTTCTAAAATCATACCCAGGCACTTTTGTTATTTCACATAGTTAATAAGGTGAGCAGTGTTTTTACTAATTCAATGTTACTTCCCTGTATAATGTTTGTTAAGTTAGTGGTGTTGCTATTTGTGTTTTCAATAGGTTATTGAGGACACCAAAGAGAAAAGAACCGTCATCCATCAAGCTATCAAATCTCTGTTTCCAGGATTAGAGACAAAAACAGAGGATAGAGAGGGGAAGAAATACATCGTAGCCTACCACACAGCTGGAAGAAAGGCTTTGGCAAGTAAGTGTGTGAGTGACCAGCTTCTCTTTCAGATGGCCCAGGGAGGCAGAGCCTGCTCTTTGGTCACCTGTTCATGCTCAGGGGCTACTTTGCTGTTGTTCAGAGGAGGATATTGATCATGTCACTCCTTCAGAGAAGGGTGAATATTGTTTCAGATGCCAGCACAGTCCTGCAGCCTGCCTGTCTGGTAGGGAGCATTAGGTCTTTTATGTGAGTAAAGGTTTGCTGAAATAATGCGGTACCTAAGAGAGAGAGCCTTAGGAATTTGATATGTTCCCTGAAGAGCAGAGTGGGCTGAGTGGCAGTTCAAGAAAATGGAAGGGTTATTGCTCACTCTGTGTTCTTAACGGAGGAAAGAAAGTTTTCAGATGAACAAGAAATGCTTATCACCTATCCCAGTGGCATATTTCCTGCAAGATTCCTTTATTGAAAGAGTTGCTGCTTTCCAACTGTGAGTACCTTCTTCAGTCGCACATAAAAGACCTGGGATCGATGGGAAGACTCCCCTTTGTCTTTGCCCATCTTCATTGTGTATCATCCATTTGGAATGGGTGTATCATCAGTGAATCACTTTGATACTTACCTTCAATGTGTTTTCTACATCCATGAAAATTTCTATTTGCATATAACCTTTAAGAAAAATTAAGTGACTTTTTTCTTTTACCCATGAAATCAGCAGATAAAATCTTAATGAAAATTACAACAGGAAAAAGTTATTTCCTTACCCTTCCCCCCTACCAGTGATGGCCCCTATTAATGGAGTTATTTCTGGATACATTCGTTAGAGCAGAACTTGCCAAGACTATGTAACAAAAAGACTGTCAATTATTAGAGCTTTGTCAGTATTCTCTTAGGTTAATTTAAAAGTTAGTACTGTGAATGAATGAAGCTTAATTGTTTATAACCACATTTTTCTGAAATAAGAGGGTATAAGAAAAAAAGGAACAGAAATAAAATTTAACTATGCCTGAGAAAATAATCTAGTCAAATCAGCAAGTCTGGTATTGACAGAGAAATGAGAAACCTGAGCAGTTGGGAGGAGGAGGAGATCTGAAGCCAGTTCTCAGTGGATACTAAGAGGAACATGGAGGTGATATGTTCTGGAACTGCTTGGAGTACAAGTTGTTAATCACATTTCAGTCTGCAAACTAATGGTGTGGTTACTGTATGTTCCTCTATTGTCTGGGTCAAAGTATAAAATATCACCTTAGCAGCCTTTCTTCAGTCAAGGTCACTCAAGAGAGGTAAACCCAGTGGAAAATGACTTGAACAGCTGTTCCCAAGGATGGTATATAGCTAGTAATTATTCTGGATATAGAGGAGAGAAGGTGATATCTACATACAGTGATGCCTGGGTGTATTTGGTCTTCATTCTCTCAAAGAACCCAGTTGGGAAGGCTACCAGGGTCTTGTTCTGCTCGGTGTGGTCATGGAGGAAGCAGATTGGAAAAGGCAAAAGCTGTATTTTTTTGACTGGTTGCCTCTCAGAAGCGATCATCATTTCCTAGGAGATGTTAGGTTTTGTGAGGGGAGGGAGGGCATTTGCAGGCCATTACTGTTTGGGGGGGGTGGTTTTTACCCTTTTCCTTCTTTAGGTGACTGGTGCCAAATTTCTCATATTCTGTTTTTATCCACATTTCTCTGCTTAGGCCATGCTCACTTTTCATTTTTTTCGATACAAAATTTCCTTAAGATTTTCCAAGTATTTGGCCGGGCGCGGCGGCTCACGCCTGTAATCCTAGCACTCTGGGAGGCCGAGGCGGGCGGATTGTTTGAGCTCAGGAGTTCGAGACCAGCCTGAGCAAGAGCGAGACCCCGTCTCTACTAAAAATAGAAAGAAATTAATCAGACAACTAAAAATATATAGAAAAAATTAGCCGGGCATGGTGGCGCATGCCTGTAGTCCCAGCTACTCGGGAGGCTGAGGCAGGAGGATTGCTTGAGCCCAGGAGTGTGAGGTTGCTGTGAGCTAGGCTGACGCCACGGCACTCACTCTAGCCCGGGCAAAAGAGTGAGACTCTGTCTCAAAAAAAAAAAAAAAAAAGATTTTCCAAGTATTTGACTCAGCTATGTGATGTGAACTACTCTTCCCGTCTCCCTTTGGATATGTTCAGTAAAATGTTAATTTCTTACTTTAAAAAGGCGTGAAGGCAGTCAGGTTGGATCAACCCCTGCATAGAGCTCCACACCTCTTGGGCTTGAGGTGTTGTGACATTTATTCAAAGATGGACTGAATCTCTGCCATCTGAGCTGATACCTCCCAGTTCCTCATGGAAGGTGGTTCCTCGGCCCAGAGAGGTGCCTGGGAACTTGCATTCATCTTTTACAGACCCAATTCCCCCACATGCTGAGAGTGGGCTGAAGTAAATGCCCCTGGGAAAGGAAGGGGAGCTGGTATCTGGAGGTTGTTGTTCATGGCCCTGGAAATAGAGCACACTACCAAAGACAGGTGGTCCTCCTGGGCCACCTTGCATTTGCAGTGAATTAGCTTTTAAAGCATCATTGCAAAGCTTTGCAATTTATGTTTTTAAGCTTTTTTTTACTACCAAACCCTGATATAAATTGTTATTGGTGGTTTATACATTATCTAGCAGATTTGCAATATTCTTAGTCTAAACTTTCTCCAGTAGAACTGTACATCCTAAAACATAGATGTGGTAGATTCTAAATCATGGTACCACAACACCACAAATTACCACTGTTTAAACTCAGACATTAATTTGTATGTTTAGCCAGTTTGACAGGGCACATTGCTGTACCTATCAAAGCATACATATGGTATTTTTCTGAAAATACCCTGTAACTATTACAACATTATATAAGCAGGTAAATTAATTTATGTTTTAAGGTAGATGGTATATATTTCAAATGCCTCTAAGAACTTGTTTTTAAAGCCTTACGTAAAAAATAAAATCTGCCATGTGATATGTACAGGTTCTCTGTACTTTCTGAAAATGAATGGTTCCTAGGAGGGGCTCCTGGATCTAGGGATCCACAGAGACTCTGGAGGGAGAGCCAGATAGTACAGAGAAGCTCTCTGGGAGAGACTGGTATTAGGGAATCCACAGGAACAGGGAACTCTCAATAATCAGAGTGCTCAGCAGGGAAAATGCTGCAGAGAGGTCCAGCAAGATAAGAACTCTGAAATGTATCTTTCAGTTTAGCAACGTGGAAATCAGTGTTGTCTTTTTGCCAGAGCAGTTTTAGTGGAATGATGAGGTTGGACACCAGTTTACACAGCCAACTGAGATGGAAGGTAGTATATACAAACTGCTCTTTCAGATAAGCTGCAAATACAAGGAGAAGGGAAGGGAACATTGTTAAGGAGGGGGGAACATAGGTTTGGCTTTTAAGATGGAAGTATTGTGAGGTATTTGTATATTGAAAGGGGAGAGCCAGTGGAGAGGGAGGGTGAACATTCAAGGAGTAGAGTAGTAAAATAAAGATAATGAAAGGAGCAGGATCTCTGAGGAAGCCAAAAGGTTGATGTGCTGGGGTGTGGCCGTGGGAATGACCTTGAATAAGAAGGAAAGAGTGGCCGGGCACGGTGGCTCACGCCTGTAATCATAGCACTCTGGGAGGCCGAGGTGGGCGGATTGTTTGAGCTCAGGAGTTTGAGACCAGCCTGAGAAAGAGTGAGACCCCATCTCTACTAAAAATAGAAAAGAAATTAATTGGGCAACTAAAACTATATAGAAAAAAATTGGCTGGACATGGTGGCGCATGCTTGTAGTCCCAGCTACTCGGGAGGCTGAGGCAGCAGGATTGCTTGAGCCCAGGAGTTTGAGGTTGCTGTGAGCTAGGCTGAAGCCATGGCACTCACTCTAGCCCAGGCAACAGAGTGAGACTCTGTCTCAAAAAAAAAAAAGAAGGAAAGAGCATTCTGCATGCTGTTCCATCCTGTCATCTTTCTCAAGCTATAAGCATTTTTCCTTCCTTATTCATGGGGACCTCTGTGCTCAATACAAGGATCTTCCTGAACTAGGTTTCCCTTTTATCTGGTTTCCGTTTCTACCAGACTGACGTGTCAGACCCTCAGAAGGTGGAAAATAGGAACCATATTACCCAGCCTGAGAATTCTTTGCATTTGCATTATAAATCAAAGTGTCTCAAAAATGTCTGCAAGTTATTTTAAATTCACTTAAATTGTTAAGCTAAGTATATGCTGCTTAGGGATTGGAGTTTTATAAAGTCAAACGACTTGCCCAAAATAAATTAAGACTCATTGATTTTCTGTTATTCAGAATATTCCCAGTTAGTGCATATGCTTACTATTTTGTATATTGAGTGCACCTAGAGAAAAAATCCATAGTTGTATCTGTTATTCGCAGAGGAGATAATGTATGCATGCTCAGTGCTTAGATTTGCTAATAGAAGATGCATGCTTATGAGCCAAAACTCATACTCAGTTGTCATGGTTTCTCTTAAGGTATAACAGTATTTCATTTTCTTGTGGCTTCATTTATTTCTTGCCATTATACTTAATTGTGAATGCACTGAAGGGGTTGTTAAGAAAACATGTAGCTACACTTCATCACCTTTTATCACAAGTGTTTTTAAAAACTTTACTTGGACATTTTCAAACATGCACACAAATAGAGGAAGTAGTATATGGAACCCTCATGTACCCATAAACCATCTTTGAGATAATCAACATTCTATTGTTTCAGTTTGATCTCTCCCTCCCACTTTTATTTTCTTATGGGGCATTTTTAAAGCAAATTCTATGTAACACATCACTTCACTGATAAATACTTCAGTATGTATTTACCAAATAAGGACTAAACTATTATTATCACATCCAACAAAATCAATAATAATTTCTTAATATATAATACCCATTGTATGTCCAGTTTTTCTCTATCTCAAAAATGTCTCTTACATACAGATAGCTTGTTAAAGTAAATGATAAAAAACAAGGTCAGAGCCCCGCACTCATGGATAAGTCTCTAAATCATCTCTTAAATCTCTTTTAATCTGTAAGGTAAAGAATTTTGATAACCGTTTTCTATAATCATTCAACGTTTTTTAAATAAAAAATCTTTATAATTCAATGCAGGAAAACTCATAAAACACAGAAAAGCACAAAGCAAAGCAATAAATACTTGCAATCGCGGTACCAAAACATAATCACAAATGGCATTTTGGTATGTGTCTTCCCATATTGAAGAAGACACATCCCTGGATGGGGAAGGAACTGGTGTTTTAGTCTTAAACCTTTTGCTGCATCCCATGGGTACAGACCATACAGCTCTGAGCATGAACGGACATGCCCATTGTGAAGGGATTGAGAACAGGGAGGCTGTACTTGTAGGTGAGTTTTCTACCTGTTCACTGTTTGCCTCCACAACATTCCATTGTTCATGTCTACGTGGCTGTTAACCCACCACATAACTACCAGGTGCTGTAGAAGTCCTCAGTATAAACTTACCATGCCATCATTTGCATGTTCACCTCTAAAGCACTTTAATATTATAAATTAAACATTGCTCTCTTGTGCTCTTCATGCTGTGCACTTGGACAGAGGTCAGAACTGCAGCAGGTAAGAGCGCTTGGCATTTCATGTAGAGAAAGTGAAATGCCAGTGATTTTATCACAAGTGCTAAGTATAGACAACTTTGCTTAACTGATAGTGAACTGGAAGGAAAACCAAAAATGTTATTTCTACTCAACAATTTTCTAAAGAAATTGTGAGGAATTCACACCAAGAGCGAAAGAAATACTTGTAATAGTTTTCTGTCCAAGACAGAAAAGACTCACATGTTAATCAGGAAGGAAAAGTGATTCACTAGGTATATATGCTATGGCAGTTTTCTAAGATGGTTTACTGATTCTTTTGTTCTTTACATTGTAGCTTAAATCACTAACCTATCAGGCAGTGCTTTTGCCTTGACAAAGCCAGATATCTAAGTAACTTCAGTACCAGAAATATCTTAAGCCTCTGAAGGTAAAGGTTTCATGAGTTCATGCAAAAGCATTATTTTAGGGACGAAGACAAAGGAACATTTTTAAACATAGAGGACTCTTTCTAGAGATTGTATGAAATATTTTTGCATAGGTTTTCTTTCATGGAGTTAGAGAAATCATCGTGTTGTTCAAATAACAACTGTAGCTTTATATCACACAAGACTCGTGAATATTATTGTACAGTGTCTGTAAAGCACAGTTTTGGCTTACATGTTTTTCTCAAAAGTATTGATTTTTCAAAACACTCTTTGACCAGCTTAAATCTAAATCTTACATTTTTTAAATAAATGTTTTTAGATTATAGTGTATTTGAAATGTTCAAATAAAAGAACAGTTTTAAAAATTAAGTTTTCCAAGGTCATACAGTATTTGTCGGTCTCCAGAAGAGTTGAACAATTGAAGTAACACTAGCTCTGAAGTTAGCATTTAACCTGGCTTAATTTTTAGTTTCCTTTTCCCCAGGAGTGACAATCAGCTACTCTCCCTCTGTAAGGTAGACATTAGCCAAACTGTTGTGATGGAAATAGCCTTTGGAAAAAATTTAATCTTGTCACTGAGGCAACTCCTCACAAGCTCTGCCCAACACCCCCACTACCACCATAAGGCATCCAGCCTACGTGTGCGTGAACACCTAACTGTGGATATAAAGCAAGCCTTGTAGATTCCGAGCTAATTGCTGTTTCCTTCTGGACTGCGTGTGTTCCAGAGAGCTAGTCAGCCCACCTGTCGGACCCATGCTGCTAAAGTAACACGGCTGGGGGTCGGCGGGACTCCTGTATGAAGACTGCTGTTGAGTCTGAGTCACTTTCACACCACTTGCATTTTAGCTTTTGATTTTAAATATGGACAGAAAACGTTAAGTGTCCAATCACAGAAAGTTTAACGCCTATAGTGCACATAGTTATAACCACTTAACCTATATTTCTTGTTAGACTAGATCTGATTTCTCATTGAAAGGTTCTACAGTGAAAAATAAGCTCTGAAGGGTTTCATGAGAAAAAACTCAAATAACTTCTATTGTGGTATATATAATGTTTCCTTTTTTGTTTTTTAAGATCCAAGAAAACATTCTTGGCCAAAATCTAGGGGAAGTTACTGCCACTTTGTACTATACAAGGAAAACAAAGACACCATGGATGCTATTAACGTACTCTCCAAATATTTAAGGTTAGTATCTTGTTCTTATGCTCATACGAAATCAAACACCAGGTACATATTTTCCTCTTTCCACAATAATGGAAAAAGGAGCAGGGCCATAAATCATAGATAGCAAATGTGCTTCTCAATGATAGTTTTCTTAGGCAGTAGATGAATTAATTTTCTTTGATCCCCATGCATATTCCCAGTAATTCAGGGTGAAATTTCTGTTAGTAAATATTTCGCAGTTGAGAGTTACCAATCCATCTGGCTGAAAATAAAAATAATCTTTCTCCCCGAAAAGGCTATACTTGGACGTCATTGCAAAGGTTGGCTTTACCAAACTGGGAGCTCTCAATTCCTGGAGGCTGATGAAATGGAAAACTTGAGACCAGTCAGATTTTCTCATAGGAATGCAAATACAGCAGAGATTGGATCTCTGAGGGTGGGCAAGGTGCTGAAGCATTTTTAAAAAATAGAAATGGTTGCAGTCACCACAACAAATCTGTATGCTATGGAAATTTGCTTTCTAATATATATTTAACTCAGTTTAAATATGGTAACGCAGTGTATTAGTTTGCCAGGACTGTCGTAACACAATAAGCCACAGACTGAGTGGCTTAAATAACAGAAATTAATTTTCTTACATTTCTAGAGGCTAGAAGTCCCCAGATCAAGGTGTCAGCAAGTTTGGGTTTTTTTAGAGGCCTCTCTCCTTGCTTGCAGGTGGCTGCCTTCTCACTGTGTCCTCACATGGCCTTTCCTCTGTGCACACGCACCCCTGGTGTCTTTGTGTGTGTCCTAACCTCTTCTTACGAGGACACCTGTCAGATTGGATTAGGGCCCACCCTAAAAGGGCTCATTTTAACCTAATCGCCCCTTTTAAGGCCCTGTCTCCAAATACGGTTACATCCTGAAGTACTGAGGGCCAGAACTTCAACATACGAATTTTGGGGGATATAATTGAGCCCATAACACATGGTATCCAATTAAATAACATTTTTTTTGCACTATTTATTAGCTCCCTGAGAGAGAGTTTGTGGTACTGTGTCTGTAAATTGAGCCAAGGAGAATAGACTGTTCCTGACAGGGGAACAGACAGTAGGGGAAAAAGTTCCTCTGAGATCTGGAATTGAGGATTGCTTGGGTTCAAGAAATCTTTCCTATTTTTTTCCTTTTCATATGGAGCAGTTAAGTTTACAAAATATGTCTTAGTTAACTAGCTTACTTGTATCTTCATATTAAAACTATTCAGATCCCTGGTTTAGCATTTGACTTTTTTTGTACAAAGCCATAGCATGCATTTAAGGAAAATTCATACACTATTACTTTTTAAAATTGAAGATAAAAAATTTTCAGAGTGGTACATTATATCCCTAGAATGCATTTTTCCTTATTTTCACAGTTTTATGTAATCTAATGAATTGCACATGATCAATGGGAAGTGCATTATTTCCTTTTTTGTTACCGGCTAGCCAAGTCTTTGAACAACACCAGTTTTTTACTAATAGCCACAGATATTCTAAGACACTGCTAAAAAGGGACTTGTTCAGTCATCATTTATTTATTTATTTATTTTTTAAGAGTTATGGTCTCACTGTGTTGCCCAGGTTGGCATTGAACTGAACTCCAGACTCCAGCAATCCTCCCTCAGTCTCCTGAGTAGCTGGGACTATGCCCAGCTATCACTTACTTTTCTAGCTTACGTATTAGTTTATGTTTTCCTGGATTGATTTTTTCAAATAAAGTTTCTCCTCATTTTTCTCTTATTGTGTTATGTTTTTAAGTATATTTATTTCAAAATTTAAATTATAAGAAAGATGATTTTCTTATGGTACGTGTCTTCAGATGATTTTCTGTCTATCTTACCAGAGTCAAGCCAAATATATTCTCCTACATGGGAACCAAAGATAAAAGGGCTATAACAGTTCAAGAGATTGCTGTTCTCAAGTAAGTAGAGAGTCCATAACATGATAACTGTAAAAATACTAGCACAGCTTTTCAGAATTCTCAAATTTACTTTATAGGTTTATCTCTTCCATCTTTAGATGGTACCTCTGCCTATTTAAAAATTACTTTTCCGTTTTTTTTTCTTCTTGTTTGTATTTCCTAATGTTTTTATATCAAACGTATTATGTAATTTTTAAAGGATTTTTGTGGTAGAGCCAAGAGTATAAGTGCTTCTTTCTCTATTTTGTTCATTTTTTATTAAATGTAGGTATGTTATTTAAATTTTAATTACAAAATAGTGAGTGGGCTCTTTTGTTACACACCAGAGATCTACAGATTTAAAAAAACGGTCTCTGCTTTTGAAGCAATTATAATTTAATGGAGCAGACAGACAAGTAAATCAGAACTTATCCTGCAGTGAGACAAATGCTGCAATAGACGTATGCTCTGGGTATTAGGGCATGCCTATCGGCAAGCAAGGAACTTGACAGGGAGGGCAGGCAGGGGAAGCTTTCACACAAAATGGGATGCTTGAGTTTTAATTTAGATCAGGGCTTCTCAGCCTCTTCACTAGTGACCTTTTTGGGCTGGAAAACTCTTTGTTGTGGGAACTATCTTGTGCATTGTAGGTTTAGCAGCAGCCCTAGTCTCTACCAACTGTAGAACAGTAGCAGCCCCCCTTCCCTGCTTAGTTACGATAACAGACAATGTCTCTAGACATGGTCAAATATCCTCTGAGAGGGAGAATTGCCCCTGGTTGGGAACCACCAGCCTAGATTCTGGAAGGATCAGTAGGGATTTCCTGGGGCTGGGGAGAGTCTAGGGCTGTTAGTTCCAAACCAAGAAAACAGCTTATGAAAAGACGCGGGCAAGCACATTCGGTACCTGGCATGTACTTTAGTTTTTCGGAAGTGTAGCAAGAAGAAAGGTTTGAGGAGTAGGCAGGATGCGGATCCTGAAGGGTCCTTTAGGTCTTGTTGAGGACCTTTGACTTGACCTTAATCTAAACAGGGGCAGTTGTGTGTGGAGGCTGGATCAGGGGTTGCAGGCAGAGCAAGATGCATGAAACTGGAGACCAGCGCTATTGCCATGTTCTGGGGAGGAAGAACAGGGGTCTGAACCCACTCAGTCATAGTGAAGGTAAAAGGGAAGGATGAGTTTAATAGCTATATGGCATCCGAAAAATTCAGGCTTTCATCTTACTGCACCTCCAGAGGTTAGGAGTGGTGGGAGGGAGAAATAACAGGGACAGGAGGAAATTTTAGGAGGGGATGCGTTCATTATCTTGAATGTCATGATAGTTTCATAGGCTTATCCACATGTATGTTTTGAACATGCGCAGTCTACTGAATGTCAGTTACACTGTAGTTAAAAATAAAGTTGTCTATGTTTGCTATCTCCGCTTAAACATATGTATTTATTTATAATTCTCCCAACTTTTCATAAAGAATTTGAGGTGCTATCTCCTCTTGCCCCATAATCCAGTCAGGCTTCTTTTCCACCACTTTTCTGATTCACTTGAAATGATGTAGTGGTCAAGCTCTTGGTTGCATCCTAATGGATTATTCCAGTCATTTTCTTCCTTGACCATGGTGTAGTTGTAAAAGAAGAGTAAGAACATCTTCTCTCCATCGCTTTTACTGGTGAGGTGTGCAAATGTTGATGTGTTCGAAAGACAGCAGGAAGAGATGCTTGAAGGTGAACAGTGTTCCTACCTGGTGGCCTGGTTTCCTTTCTTCCCTGTGACTTCTAGCATGTGGAGTCGTCTGCTGAGGGTAAGGGGGCAGGCGGTGGGTAAGGGGATGTGAAAGGAGTGTGGAGGTTTGAAATAGCCTCTGCAGGTGATGGGCCAGTGGGCTCACCAGAAACTCAGATGAATGGGAGTTGCGGGGGATGGCAGTTTAAGGGCTCTGGCTTTCCCATACTCTGTAGATATAGAACACAACAGAAGGTTTTTGTCTTCACTTTGGTATCTCAAATATTGCGATCAATTCCTGTGATTTCTGTCTGGCTCTGAATTTTTGCCCTGATAAAAAAGATAAGAACTAGGTAGAAAATGAAAGTTCTGCCATAATTTTTTTTTTTTTTGAGACAGAGTCTCACTGTTGCCCGGGCTAGAGTGCCGTGGCATAAGCCTAACTCACAGCAACCTCAAACTCCTGGGCTCAAGCAATCCTCCTGCCTCAGCCTGGCTAGTAGCTGGGACTGCAGGCATGTGTCACCATGCCCGGCTACATTATGCCATAATTGTATTTCCTCAGAGATCACCTTGTTCACAACTTGAGATATGTTTTTTGAGGGATTTTTTTTCTCTTTTATACCAAAATATTTATACAAAATGTTCTTTTCACTCAAACAATAAATGATATACCTCATTCCCTGTTAATACATAGCAAAATATATTTAAATATATGAATATATCCTAATTTATTAACTCTTACTCTATTTTTGAATGTTTACATTGTTTCCTGTTTCTTGCTATCATAAGCAAGTCTGTGACAGACTTACAGCTAAATCTTGGCACACATCTATAACAACTTCATTAAGATAAACTTAGCGGTGGGATTACTGACTTAAAGGGAATATGAAATTCTAATGGTTTTTTCTTTTTTTTTTCCATCTGCTGGTCAGAACAAAGAAAAATTTAATGGTTTTTGATAGCAAAGCCTAATTGCCCTGCGGAAAGCTGATACCAGCTACCACTTTTATTCTAGTTCCTCAGAATCCACCCCAGCACACGGTTATGGTTGGGGGATGGGGGAGTGGAAATCATTAGCTAATGTGAGCATCAAAAAATGGCATCTCATTATTTTATTTTGCATTTTATGAGTGAAGTCTCTGAGTATTTGAAGACTGAGGATTTTTCTTTCTTTTCTTGGTCAGCCAGCAGGTGTCATACTTGATCAGGACGCTGCTGTGTCCTTACAGACTTTTGCTGCCTTTATCATCTTCCTGTTGACTTAATAAGAAACCAAATTAGACACCTAAACGTTGGCCCTTTGAAAGGACGTAGTACTTATCTTGCGGATACAGGCTGCCACCCTTGGTCAGCTTAATGGATACATGGGGCTGGGCAGAGTGGTTTTTCCCGTGAGAACTAGCGAACAGGAGAAACACTCTGCCACGCAAGGATTTGAATGATTGCTGGATTGATTAATCCTGAGGATCAGCACTATTTCTTTTCAGCTTCGTGTAACTCTAAAGCCACCTAGTGATTTTAACAGGATCTCAGACAGGAACATTCTCATTCAGTGTGATTTGTTTCTTTTCCTGCCTGTTCCTGCCAGTCTCCTTTCTGAGCTTGGGCCAGTACTTGCCTGGCTTTGTTAATAAAGGTTTTCTGTGCAACATGCTGCTTAGGTTGGCTCCTGATGTATAAAAGCAAGATTTTCATGTTCCCTAGTTTCACTGAATTTTCTGTGAATTTATAAAGAGCTTTGTCTAGGATCATCACAGTTAAAACTGTGAACAGTGTCACAAAGACATCGATTGTCAGCTTCCTTCCATCTTTTCTCGGGGAGCACCTGCATAGTTCTGTTTGCTGTGCCGGTGGGATTCAGAAGTAGATGTCTATTGTATATTCAAGAGTAGATAATATTATTCAGCCATAAAAAGGAATGAAGTACTGACACATAATACAGCATGGATAAACCTTAAAAACATGGCATTAAGAAGTCAGGCACAAAAGGCCACATATTGTATGACTCTATTTATGTGAAATGTCTAAAATTGGGAAATATATAGGGACAGGAAGAAAATTATAGGTGGCCAGGGGCTGCAGGGAGAGGGAATAGGAGTGACTACTAAATAGCCATGGGGTTTCTTTTTGGGGTGATGGAAATGTTCTGGAATAGATAGTGGTGACAGTTTTACAACATTGTGACTATCACTGAAGTGTATACTTTATAACGCTTAAAAAGGTGAATTTTGTGTTGTTAATTTTACCTCAAATTTAGAAAAAAGAGTAGCACTGTCAGGTACTTCCGTGACACTATCATGAAACAGTCTCCAGGGAATTCTCTCTAGGACAACCAAGTTTCCTATTTGATTCCTTTTTGCTCCTGACTCTACATTATTCTCTCAGTTTCTGTAGCAGTAGTTACTGATAAAAGAAGAGTTGTGTCCTCCTGTTTCTCACTCTGTTCATATTAATCCTCTGCTTTCTGAGTTCCTTGGGGTACAATTACTAGATTAATTCATGCCCTTGGGTTCTTCCATTGTCTCCATATATCTGAAGTCAAGGGCCTGGTGCCTCTCAGCCACTGCCTTAAGTCTGGACTATACCTACTTCACAAACCCTGTGGGTTTTTTGTTTTTGTTTTTTTTAGACAGAGTCTTGCTCTGTCACCCAGGCTAGAGTGCAGTGGCATCATCATAGCTCACTGCAGCCTCAAACTCCTGGGCTCAAGCAATCCTTGTACCTCAACCTTCCCAGTAGCTGGGACTACAGGTACTTACCACTGTACCTGGCTGATTTTTCTAATTTTTTGTAGAGACAGGGTCTCAGTCTTGCTCAGGCTGGTCTCAAACTCCTCACCTCAAGTGATCCTCCTGCCTCGGCTTCCCAGAGTGCTAGGATTATAGGTGTGAGCCACTGCACCTGGCCCACAAACCCTGTTTAGAGTTGTCCTAGATTGTGTTTGGCCCTAGGGTTGAACAAGAATGGAGGAAATGGAGTACAGGATTTGCCCATTTCCTGACTTCTCTGGCTAGCTCCTATATTAATTAATGGGGTGATGATAATTTTTTTCCTCGAGAAGATTGGTCAAGCTGCTTCTCTACATATTGAACCAGGAAACAAATAGGCTGATTTGTAATGTATCAAGGAATTGATTGAGTATCCAGGGAGTATGGGGAAATTTTTATCAAAGAAAGAAGAATTCCGTGGAATCAGATGGCAAGCTGGTATCATATAGGCAAATTTTAAACAGTTTATTTAACTTGACAACAACATATTTGTAACTAGAAAGTAGGATAAAATTTCCCCATTTTTTAACGTAGTGTTGGGACTTTAGAGGCTTGTGGGGCAAAGACATCCCCCCTCTGTGGGGCTGCTTCCATGATTAACCACTTTGGGGCAGAACTCAGCCTTTTGTGCAGACCCAATGCCTGAGATCCATATCTAGACCTAGTCCTACACTCTCCTGGTAGCAGGAGTGAGGTCAAAGTCCAACTCTGGAAACCACAGACACAGTGTCAAGGAGTAAAAAGTATGTTCTTCAACAAAGTAAACACATGGGAGGCAGCTCCTGTAGTCACAAGGGACAGGCTGCAGCTTGGTCAGTGGCAAGTAAACTGTAACATTCGTCTGTAGTTACGATGGGTTTACCCCTGAACCCGAAACCTTTCCTCAGTGGATTAACAGGAAAGCCAGTCATGGTGAAACTTAAGTGGGGAATGGAGTACAAGGGCTACCTGGTATCTGTAGATGTCTATATTAACACGCAGCTTGCAAATAAAGAAGGATACATGGATGGGACATCGTCACGAAATCTGGGTGAAGTTTTAATAGGGTATAATAATGTCCTTTATATCAGAGGTGTTGAAGAAGAGGAAGAAGATGGGAAAATGAGAGAATAGCATCTTTTTTTTTTTTTTAAATACATACGTTTATTGACTAGAAAGTCAATAAAGATTTGTTTTTCAAAAAAAAAGTGACACGCACGTTTTCTTTGTTCTTTTTTTTTTTTGAGACAGAGTCTGACTCTTGCCCGGGCTAGAGTGCCATGGCTTCAGCCTAGCTCACAACAACCTCAAACTCCTGGGCTCAAGTGATCCTCTTGCCTCAGCCTCCTGAGTAGCTGGGACTACAGGCACGTGCCACCATGCCCGGCTAATTTTTTCTATATATTTTTAGCTGTCCAATTAATTTCTTTCTATTTTTAGTAGAGACGGGGTCTCGCTCTTGCTCAGGCTGGTCTCGAACTCCTGACCTTAAGCGATCCACCCGCCTCGGCCTCCCAGACTGCTGGGATTACAGGTGTGAGCCACCATGTCCGGCCTCTTTGTTCTGATAGTACTGAGTGGATGTCTTTTCAAAGGAAATATGACTTTAGGAAAAATTAAAATCACTTTTCTATGTACTCAGAGGTACTGCGTGCCATTATTTCTAATATTGAAAATTGGAAACAACCCAAATGACCCACACTAGAGAATCTTTAATAAAGTGAATGATTAAATAAATAAATTTCATTTGATGAATTATTTTTAACTGTATCAGATTATTTCTAATTAGAAAGCAAAAATCTCTTTACTAAGATAGAAATAGATGAATACTGTGTTTACATGACAAGAAAAGTAAATCTCATTTAGAACCAAAAACAAGATAAAGATACCACACTATAACCACTATTTTTTATCATTGTTCTGGACATGCTAGTTAATGCAAACAAAATTAAGAAGTAAGAGATATAAGATATAAAAATTAGAAGGGAAGTAGCCACATTGCAGGTTCTCTCAATCTACTCAAGGAGTTGGTTGAAAGTTATAAAAGATAAAAATATTAATATACAAAAATCAGTATGTTATACAAAACAGCCAGTTAGAAATTACAATGGAAAAAAGAAATCTTTTACGGAGCAAAAAATTTAAAAAGGGAACATACCTAGGGACATATATATATATTTTTTTATTTCAAAGTGTCAAAGTGGTACAAGTGTTTTTGGTTACAGGGGATCACTTTTGTAATGCTTGAGTCACAGCTATAAGTGTGCCCATCATCCAAATAGCATTCGTTGTACCTGTTAGGTAGGTTTTTGCACCTTCCTTCCTCCCCCCTCCCTCTGTGACAAAAATTTTTTAAAAGTATGAGATCTCAATGAAGAAAACTTTGAAATGCTGAGAGATGTAAAAGACTTGAATAAATGAATGATATTAACCTATTATTACATACATATAAATATGCCTCTTACTGAACAGATGTATTATGTAAACTAATACTGCTATTAATGAAAATAATAGTAAAATTTTTTTAACTAATCAAGCTGATCATAAAGTCAGTATGAAAAAGATACAAAACAAGCCATAAAAATTCTGAGAAAAGTGACTAATAAAGGGGATTTGGCCCCAGTAGATAGTAAAGCATGTTATAGAAATATAGCAGTTAAAGCAATTTGATATTGGCACATGACTAGGTAGAATAATCACAGATGCAGATACATTCAAGGATTTAGTATGTATTCAAAGTAGCATTTAAGGCTGGGTGCAGTGGCTCACTCCTGCAATCCTAGCACTTTGGGAGGCTGAGGCGGGAGGATTGCTTGAGGCCAGGAGTTTGAAACCAGCCGGAGCAAGAGAAAGACCTCCTCTCTACAAAAAATAAAAAAATGAGCTGGGTGTGGTGGCACATGCCTGTAGTCACAGCTACTCAGGAGGCTGAGGCAGGAGGATCGCTGAAGCACGGAAATTTTAAGGTTGTAGTGAACCATAATGACGCCACTACACTGTCTCCTGGGAGACAGAGCAAGACCCTGTCTCAAAAAAAAAAAAAAGAATATAAAGTGCATTTAAAATTAGTGGAGAAAAAAATGGTTGATTCAAAAAATGATGGGATAACTGGGTAGCCATCTGAAAAAAATAAAGTTGGCTACCTACCTCAGTTTCCTATGCTAGGAATCCAGGTGGATCCAAAATACATACATAAAAAATGCAACTGCCTGCTTAAACTTCAGATTTTAAAAACAAAATCTTTGGTTATACACTTTCTAAGTATGACTTAAATCTCATAGCTATTTAAAAAAGAAGGAATTATGAATTCACTAAAATTTCTCTGCATAGTCCTTATTTACAGAAGAATGCCAACAAATATAGAAAAACTCATACAACACAGTGATAATTGATTCAGGCAGCAGTCATCCGTGGGTACCTAAACAATTGGGTGAAAGACCATGTGGGAATAGGATTTTTACATAATTTCAAAAGTATTCCCCCACAGATTACTAATTAAATACAAAGGGAAAGGTATTCTTACAGTGGAAAAATCTTATCAATACCATCCTAATCAAATGATTAAAGCTATTGTATCAGTGATGGACAAACTGAATCACTGCCCTTTATTTTTAATGAGATGGGGTCTTGCTCTGCTGCCCCAGTTAGAGTACGGTGGTACCATCCTAGCTCACTACCACCTCAAACTCAACCAATACTCTTACCTTAGCCTTCTGAGTAACTGGGACTACAGGCATGCGCCACCATGCCCAGCTAATTTTTCTATTTTTTGTAGATACAGAGTCTCGTTGTGTTGCTCAGGCTGGTCTCAAACTCCAGGCCTCAAGCAATCCTCCTACCTCAGCCTCCCAAAGTGCTAGGATTGCAGGCGTGAGCCACTGCACCTAGCCAGTCATTGCCTTTTGACATAATGCATTGAAAAAGGCCACATCACCTAAATAATATTCTTCCCAAAATGTTTACCTGAGTCTAATCATGAGGAAACAATCAGATAAATCCAAATTGAAAGACAATTGTGTAAAACTGCTGGCTTGGATTCTTCTGAAAGTCAGACGTATGTAATGAAAAACAGAAGGCTAGACAGATTGCTTAATGGAGACCAAACACACCGATGTCACAACTGCAGTATGTAACCCTCAATTGGATCCTGAATTTAAGAAGCTTACAAAACAAAACAAAATGCCAAAATGATGTAATTGGGTGAGTTTGAATATGAACAGCATATTAGATAGTAGTGTTAAGTACACGTTTGGCTTCCTGAGCAGACCATCGTGGTTACACTAGAGACTGTTTGTTCTTAGGAGATGCACATTTCACCTTAGGGGTGAAGTGACCAGATAGCAGTGACTAACTCAGTGGTTCAGTAAAATATATAGTTTTACCTTGTTGTGGGTATGGGGTGGGCATGTTCATATATTTAGAGAAAGAAAGATCTGTAAAGTAAATCTGGGAAGATCTGTTGCTGCTTTTCTCTAACTTTGGATTTTTTCAACATCAAGTTGGGAATTTTCTAAAAATGAAAAATACTATAAATTCACAACATGGGAGAATGGGAGGTAGTATTTGCAAAATGTGTGGTACAGGGTAGATATCCTTAATATATAAAATCAGAAAAAAATTTTTGTTTTTTGCTTTGGATCATTTACACCAAAAACCCAAAAATTGTAATAATCCAGTAGAACACTATACAACAGAACGAACAAGCAGTTAACTAACAGTCAACACATGATGTTTCACCTCACTCACAAGAAGATGCAAATAAAAACCAAGATAAAGGCCGGGCGCGGTGGCTTACGCCTGTAATCCTAGCACTCTGGGAGGCCGAGGCGGGTGGATTGCTCAAGGTCAGGAGTTCGAGACCAGCCTGAGCAAGAGCGAGACCCTGTCT